CTTATAACCTACAGGTTAATACCTACAGAAACAGTCTCATAATGAATGCCGTCGCAGCCCGTTCGTTTCACAAGACATAAACTATGCTAAACAAATTAAGGCCATTTAATGTGTTGGAAAAGAGTTTGATCTCTTGGACTGGTCTTGAGTTCTTGGGAATGAAATATTTGTGGTGAAGCAGAATGGGCAGAACTGAGAGAAGAATGCTTAGCTCTGATTTCATATAATCATTCTTAGCGTTCAAAATTTGGGAAGGAAAACCTATGGTGCAGCTGGAGAAGAAAAAAACACTAAAAATACCATTAGATTATATATTTTATAAGGGAACAAAATTATCAGTAGATAACTGCATATTTTCATCAAAGTTATTAAAATGAACGAATTTGAATTATTTTATCCAAAATCCAGCATTATTTTTAGCTGACTTTCCTTTTCAGCTAATTAAGGTTCGTTTTCAGAGATTTGCTTCAAAGGTAGCTAGCTAGCTGAACATTAGTTTCACGATCATTTGAAAAACCGGACTAACGTAACCTAATATTTGTTTAAGTTTTCTTAAACATTCAATAAAAAGCCTTTGTTCCAGACTTCAGGACATTTTGAGCAGTTCCATGCAAGTTTCATCGTTTTAATACCTAAAAGAGTTTTTGGGTATTTTAAACATTTTTACTATCTTGAAAAAAAAAATTGAAAGGTTTTAGATTTTAAATTACTTCATAGGGGCGTTTTTTTAACATTTTGTGTGTTTTCTTTCTTTATTAAATATCATGTTCTTCGTACTTAAACCATAAAATTCAGTTCAAGAGCAATATCGCAAAATAATTTTAAAATGAGCTTATTTTTAGAATTTCCGATACAGTCTCGTGCGCTGCAGATAATTTTTAGTCCAAAGGGACTTGAGTCCCGAAGGACTATTACTTCGTTTTGGCATTTTGCGTTGGACGGATAAATGTCGGTTCACTTTTCAAACTGTTGCCATAAAATGTTAGAGTCCTGCATTATATTTGAAGAAATTAAATAATGAAAATCTGCGTAAATGTATGTATATTTCTCACATTGTCATAAAATAACGGTACATAGAGTCATCGAATTTTGAATAACGTAATCCTCCAACGAATATGAGCATGTGGAAGACCAAATTTGAAATTTGAAATTTGTTTTATGATCGATTTCCTATTTTTTAAAACTTTGACGAATTTTTGATTAACAAACTCAAGGATTTCAAAGCGAGCAAATGGCAACGTTGTGCAGAAAAAACATTTTTATCTCCAGCGCGTGAGTCTCTGTATCGGAAATTCTAAAGATATGCTCGTTTTAAAACTATTTTGCGATATTGCTGTTGCACTGGATCTTATGGTTTAAGTGCGAGGAACATGATATTTAAAATAAAGAAAGGTAAAACACACAAAATGTTAAAAAAACGCCCCTTTGGACGTAATTTAAAATCTGAAACATTTCAGATTTTTTTTTTTTTTTTTTTTTTTTTTTTTTTTGGTACAGTGTTTCCATTGCTCGCTTTTAAATCGTTGAGTTTGTTAATCAAAAATTCGTTAAAATTTTACAAAATATGAAATCGATAATAAAACGAATTTCAAATTTGGGCTTCCTAGATGCCAATATTCGCAGGAGAATTACGTCATTCAAAATTAAATGGCTCTATGTAAAGCTGTTTTATCACTATGCGAGAAACCAACATTATGCAGATTCTTCATTATTTAATTTCTTTAAATATAACAGAGGGCGATAATATTTGGTGGCAACAATTTGAAAAGTGAAGCAACGCTTGTAGTGAATCAACGCAAAATGCCAAAACGAAATTAATAGCTGGGCAAATTGCCCCTTTGGACTAATACTGGTGAATTGTTAAATTTCTGAAATAACTGGGTGTTAATTTTTAGCATCTTGTCAATTTATATATGGAACTGCTCATATATTTTGTTGAGTTTTTGAGCCGGTTTCTGAACTGCTAGCTCGATCCTCTGCTGGCAAAGATGCTGTCGATCCTACACACTTGGATTTTATTAGCTCTTTAAAAACTAAAAAAGCTGCTGGATGTGATGGCATTTCTTCCAAAGCACTCAAGCATCTTCCAATGAATGCAATTACGTGCTTAACTAAAATAATTAACTCAGTTATCAAGCTCTTTTACTTCCCAAAAGTATGGAAACATGCAGTTGTTGTTGTCTTCTCTAAGCCTCATCAAAGTTCTACTTTCCCAAAATTATCGGCCTATCAGTTTACATAGTCAAATTTAAAATTGCTGAAAAATTATTCTGTTTTATATTAATCGAATCATGCCTCCTAGCTCTTATACTTCGATGAACAATTTGGATTCAGACATCTGCACAGCACCAATCATCAGCTTCTCCGCGTTATCAATTACATTACTGATGATTCAATTGCAAATTTCCTACCGGCGCAATTTTCTTAGATATTGCCAAAGCCTTTGACAGAGAGTGGCACCAAGGACTTATATTCAAGCTAATTCAGCTCGATTTCCGAACTACTTTATTCGACTTATTGCCTCTTACCTTACCTCAGAATCGCACTTTTGCTGTCAAAGTTGGAAACACCCTTTCAGCTACTAGAAATATTACTGCAGGTGTCCCTCAAGGCTCCCTTCTCTCTCCTTTTCTTTACAATATTTATACTCAAGACATTCCAAAAGAATCTCATATTACCATCGCCTTATTTGCCGACGATACCGCTATCCTATCTCAAGCTTCAATACTGTACAAATTTTTCTACAAAACTATTTGGAGCTTCTGAATGACGCTGTGAAGAATTGCCGTTAACAGTGACAAAACCAAAGTTATTATTTTCAGAAAAGGACAAACAAACTTCTTTCCGCCTAATCCCATACGAAAAACGACGAAATTGACGACGAAATTCAGTGGACGGATCAAGTGAAGTATCTCGGAGTCACACTTGACAAAAAACTAACTTTTCGGCAGCATTTACACGAAACTGTCAGGAAATTCAATATCTCAATAGCTACTATGCGTCCTCTCCTCGGCAGACATAGCAATCTTACTATCAACAATAAGCTTATTTTATACAAGTCCATCCTTAGACCTACTTTACTTTACGCCAGTCCGGTATGGGGACAACGCCGCTAAAAACCCACATAAAAAGATCCAAGTTATTCAAAATAAAACCCTTCGTGAAATTATTAATGCACCCTGGTTCATCCCAAATTCATATATTCACAGAGATCTTCAAATTGATACTATACAAAATTATATAAAAAAACTTGCAATAAATTTTTTCCTTTCTGTACTATTACATCCAAACAGCTGTATCAGCTCTTTGCGATGCTCACCTTTTCCCAGAGCGAAACACAAATATCCTTCGGATATTCTAAACTAACGTTTTGTTAATTATTTGAAGTACCTACTACCTTACTGATCCAACCTTTTTTTTTCACAGTGCTGGTCTATTTTCATTCATTTCATCTTTCTTCGCCGACTGATGGCGGCTAAGTGAAATATCTCATTCTACCATCTTGATTCTTCATATTTTCCTTTTGTTGTTCCAGACATTCTTTTATCTGATACAGAGTAAAAGCGCGCTGTCACTCTCTTTTCATTCGACACAAGCAAGTCGCTCCTTTGTCGGATTCTCTGCCCAACCCCCCCCCCGCTACATTTCCAAATTTCCAACTATTCAACTTCAAGCATTATCACTTCTTCTATTTTCAGTTCTTTAAATGCATTTACAGTTTTTTTCTTTCATGAAAGTCTAAAATATACTTAGTTTTTTTTTTTTTTTTTAAATCATAGTATTCTTTCTTTTAATGCTATTTCAGGCTGTAAAAGATTTTTAATATGATTTGATAGATTTATCAAAAACCTGGGAATGCTCAAGCCTCTTCCGAAAGGTAGTCGGTTCTTCGCTTTACCGATTTTCGCTCATACGTCACGAGCAATCTACTTTCGTAAACTAAACAGAAAAGCTGTATATAAATTTTCATAACACTCCCCCCTTTTTTTTTGTAGCATTATTTGGCCTTGAATCCAGAAAATCTATGTATAAAAAAGCAGATTCAAGATTATCCATCTGACAGCTGAACTACCGATCGTGGTGAAGTAAGTCAGAAAATACTTTTCAGTAACGCTGAAACGAGTTTTTGAGTTTAGAAAATACCGAAGGCCAAGGACAGACTAGTTTTCTTTTGCTTTTTATTAGAAAGAAGCCAGTTATGGTTAAATTAGGACGAAAAACAAAATTTATAATTTTTCCCCTCGAATAATTCTCCCTTAACAAAATTGGCAGAACTGCGTATTATTTTCAAATAAAATTTATTTTACTCATAAAAGAAAATACAACTCGACCAATTCAGAATTTCAATCTTTTTAATGGCAGGCTGAAGTTTTCATTGTTTTGAGCAATTACAAAAACAAAAACAAAAAAAAAAATATGGTAAAATTTGTTAATCATGGAAAACATTGCCCAGTTGCCATAGAAAATTTTGACCTCAGATCGAACGTTTGAAAACAAAAATAAGATTTTCAATTGTTTAAGCACAGTTATTACAACATGTATATGGCTATTAAGTAATCTTCAACTCCATTTGTACAGTGATGTTTAATGGAAAGAAGTATATAGTAAAGATCCCAGTTATAGTAAAATGTCATGTTATAGTAAAGTTATAGTAAAATAAGTTATAGTGAAGATCCAAGTTATGAACATTGGTTTAACTAACAAAAATACCTTATAAGTTTACTATTTCTTTAGATTATTTTGATTATCATTCCATGAATTTGATAGCAATTATAAGTATCTGATGGAAATACAAATACTTAAATGAGCATCATAATAAAAAATATTTATGTGATTTGCATTTGAATTTTTTGTTATCTATTATTATTTATTTCTTTTTGTAGGAATTTTATTTGTATTTAAATATAAAAACCAACTTGCTCATTTATTTTTGCACGATTAAGAACTTTAAAATTCTCGTTTGGCAACAGCTTAGAAAGAAACATGTAAATAATATGCAATGCATATTTTATTCGTTTTCGTATGCTGCGCAGAGAAACTTTTGATTCAAATTCGGATAAGGTTTGGATATTTGTGAACGTATATCTCCATGAGTAAGTATTACTGTAAAATTAATCTGTACAGAATTGTATTTGAAATGTTCTTTTTTTTAACCACCAAAGAAAAAAAGTCCTTTCATATAATAATAACTAGACACAAAACGAAATTTTTGGTAGCTGACTTCTGAATAGTCCATTTTTTTTTTTTTTTTTTTTTTTTTTTTCAAAAACTGGATAGCACATGGGTCACAAATCACAAAAGATAAATTGCTACCTGTCTCAAATTCTCTTTTTAATCCGTTGCAGTCCAGTGCATAAGCATTCTTTAACATTCAAAATTTCAGTTTGGCTTCTATATGACTCATGAAATTTAGCTCTAACTTCTTCACTGTGCATTGAAATTCTATCTTTTTAGTCCAAAGGGGAAATTTGACCAGAAGGACTATTCATTTCGTTTTGGCATTTTGCGTCAATTCAATACAAGCGTTGTTTCACTTTTCAAATTGTAGACACCAAATATTATCGAACTTTATTATATTTAAAGAAATTAAATAATGAAAAATCTGCATAAATGTATGTATGTTTCTCGCATTGTGACAGAACAATAGTGCTTAGAGCCATCCAATTTTGAATAACATAATTCTTCCCTGCCAATATGGGCATCTGAAAGCCCAAATTTGGAATTTGGAATTTGTTTTTGTTATCGGTTTCATATTTTGTTAAACTTTAACAAATTTTTCATTAACAAACTCAAGGATTTCAAAGCCAGTAATGGCAACGTTGGACAGAAAAAATATTTTTATCTCCAGCGCGCGAGACTCTGTATCGGAAATTCTAAAGATATGCTCAATTTTTGCGATATTGCTCTTGAACTGAATTTTATAGTGTAAGATTCTCACTAGTGTATTTCTCAGTTACAATAGAAAGTGACGAATCTTGAACTAGTTAGCGAATAATCGCTTAAGTTCGTGTAACAAGAAACAACAAGATGGAAGGGTAACTATTTATTATTTCAATGAGATTTAACAAAACTCCGTCTTCGAGTGTACAATCAAAGCCGACACTTTAGCTTGAACTTAAGAGACTAAGAAATAAACTAAAACTAAGATTAACTAAAGAGATATAGCCAGAGCTATCAAAGATTCTAATCGAGTTGGCCCCTTAACTCTATCTGACTACGAAGCTTATCAAGGGCCTGAGTACGGCCGAGCGTAATAACAGCTTTGAGAGAGAGTAGCAAAAAGGCAGACGCGCGCAAATCAGAAACTCTTGATTCTTTCTAAATCAGCAAGTAGACTTCGCGATTTAGATACCGCTCCTCCTCATTAAGTATTCAGAGTGATTCCAAAACTACGTTCTGGCCGGAAGTAGTAAATTGAAGTTAAGAATTTGACAGGAAAGGAATTTTAACTTAAAATTTAACTGTTAATAAAGTTAACATAATCCTTACAATGGTTTAAGTACGAAGAACATGATATTTAATAAATAAAGATAACACAGAAAATGTTAAAAAAACGCCTCTTCGGACGTAATTTAAAATCTGAAATCTTTCAGATTTTTTTTTATTTTCTTCTTTTAAATTTTTTACTCGGACTTACTTCAATGCAATTTTTTTTTTGAAAATTTTTAATTGAACTTACTGCTATCATTTAAATCTAACATCATAGCATCGAAATTTCCTGTCTCAGTTTTCCCCATCTTCTGGATTACGTGTAAAACAGAAAAGTAATTGCAGCATGAATTTCTTTAAGAATGCCGCAAAACATACATTTCTTGGATTTATTTTGACTTTATTTATAGTGTTGAAATCTCTTCCAGTGTTCCCTTAAATATATCATCAGCTTACTTAGGACTTCACAGAATTTGTGCAATAATAAAGTTGTAAGATTCTAACTAAATTATCTTTACTTGAACTGTAAAGCGACTATTCGCTAAGTTCAACTGACAAAGCATACGAAGGGTGAAGAGACCCTTTTATTCAACTCAAGAAACGATTTACAGTCGCCACTCGTGGCGCTTACAAAACTCAGTCAATACTTTTGGCTGCAACTCAAAATAGAAATATAAAGTTAAAAACAGAAAAGTTAAATAATCAGCTGAAACTGCACAGAGGTAATTAACACGAGCTGGCTGTTAGCCCTACCACCGACCTAAACAAATTGAGAACTAATACTGTTACGGTTTTTTGAATTGAATTACCTATTTTTAAGTAGAATTAGTTGAAATTGTTTTATATTACCGTGCAATACAGCACGAGACTTATTTGAAGAGAAAGCTACGCCGGAAAAATTAAAAATACAGAAGCACGCGCATTTAATAAATAGATATCTCGTAATTGTATGCTTTTGCTTTTCGGGAAAATTTCGAGAAAATACGAGACTTTTCTCGTGCATTTAAAAAGCTTATAAAAAGTGGGATCAGAGCATCTCAGTTCAGTTGTTTTATGAGTTGTTTAGAAAACTGTTGTCGTTTACTGTGGCGAATTCGCGGGGAAATCGGATTAGCTTTTTTCTATTTTGAATTAGTTTTGTCGAAAGTTTTGGTAGTTTAAAATATAACTATTGTGAGATATTGTAATATTGTACGAATATCTGAGGAAATTTAAGCATTTTGGTTTAGTTGTTGTGATAATAGATAATAATAAATTTTATTTACTTTTCATCGGACTTGTGCATTTAATTTATGTACACACTCAACAATGTACACGGGTGTAAAATAGCAGGCTTTAGATATCAGTGAAACAACATGGCCAAAAGGCCAAACACGCTCGGTCTGTAGTAACTCAGACATCAGCTTAAATAACATCTTGCTACGTTACTTTGCATAATGCCTGAAACTGAATTATCCTTCTGGCAGGAAATGAAAATGAGAAAAGATAGAAAAGGTACATAACTGAACAAAACTGATTAGTTTAAAACTAAACAAACTCTCTTACAAAGCATAGGTTCAAATCGAAGAAAGGAATAAAATTTATTAAAATATCTAAAATTTAAATTAGGAAAAAAAATTTAAAATCTTAATATTAGAGAATTCTTTAAATACAGCAAAACCTCTGATGGGGTTTATTTTTTGTTGATGACCATTTTAGAGAGTACCAATAGTTTTTAGAACATAAACAAATATCGGTATTGGATATCAGGTCTCTTGGTTGACTGTCTAATAAAAGAACAAAATCGTTTGGAGCCTTAGGAATATTAAGAACGTTTACAGTCTCTAAGTTGAAATTCAGTCTAAAAAGCAATTCTTGTAGTTAAGGTAGATTATATGAGTTACTAAAAACTTTTTTGATAATTTAAGCTAACTAAGGACTAAGCCTTCCTAAGGACTCAAATAAAATTTAAAAACCCTCTAGAGCACATTTTTCTAATCTCAATATTTTAATAATAAATAAAAAAATCTGATGTGTACACCACATGACTTCCTTGTACGGAATATTAAATTATACACATTTTTTTTTTTTTTTTTTTGGCATTTCATTTAAACTTATTGGATTGAATTAAATCTACTTCGCCGACAGCGCATAAACCACAATAGAATAAATGCATTCTTTAAAATTCACTCTAGTATTTGTTTACCATAGCGACACTCTGGCGCTAGATTCACTTAACAGTATTATATTTCGTTCATATTATAACTCATAATGCACAACATTTATATCATTTAAAGAATAGAAAAATCTAATCGTTGCTACATGTTCTATTCAAATACTATAATAAAGCTAGAACGATGTATAAAAGAAAGTAAGCGAACAAAACAAAAAAGAAACAGTTTTTCACAGACGATTGAGTATTTCTCATTCAATTAACTCAGTTCTCACTTCGCGAGAAGGCAAAAATACATAAAAACTCAAAATATCTCTATTAAAAATTACGAAGTAAATCTCAAACTCTTATTTCCTCGAAAAAATTCCAGAAAAGATTAAGCATGATTTAATTGGCAATAATAAATGAAGGCGTTATCTTTGTTGTTGCGAAGCTAAGTTTCTGTAGATTGGCAACAAATCCACTAGTCTCCTGTTTCAAATGTAAACATGAATGGCCGCCATTAAAAAAAGGCTTAGCGGCATTTAAACAACTTTAAAATTGCTGATAATTCTATTGCACACAGATTTACTAAAGGCATAAAATCCTTAACCGCAAGATAAAAACAACATAATTCAATCATTTTGAAAGCAAAAAATGTACAATTTACAAACATATAAGAGTAAAGAAACTGATATCACTGAGCACAGAGTGGATATATAATTTATATATGTTTGGTGAGGCCGATTGCAAACAAAAATACGAGGTGCACATCTGCATGTTATAGTAGTCCTATATACAAAATTTCAACGTTCTGAGGTTACTCGTTTTTGAGTTATGCGAGATACGTACGTACATACGTTCGTACAGACGCCACGAAAAATTATCTTCAGAATTAATTTTAAAGCAGTTTTATAATTTTTTTGGAGGAAACGAGTCTTTTATTCTGTCCCTTACGTACAGATATCACGCAAAAACATCGTTAAATTGCATTCGATGCGGTCAAAATGGATATTTTCGTTGAAATATGCTGCCTGAAACGTTTCGCGATTACAATACTTCCTTTTTATAATACTTCCTTTTTACTTCGTACAAGGAAGTAAAAAACAATTACGTTTTGAAATATGTACAGTTTTAAAAAGTAAACATTATACATGCATGTGCAGGTATTAACTAAAAAATAAAATTTAGAAACCCTAAATAAAATAGTACAAAGTGAAATTGTGAATAAATGCTGTTATATGCATAAATTTAACGCGAAACCTAACCTTGTAATTATTCTGCTAATTTACTGTAATTGAGAATATAATTGGAATCACCTGCGCTGATGTAGTTATTTAAATGTACTTCTGTGGCTTCGTATTGATCTGGATGTTTGCTCAGTTTTGGGACCATCTACTTCCATTACAGAATTTGATGTATTTAATTCATTTATAATGTAGTCTCTTTAAAAGTGAAAGAGATAGAATAACTTTAATTCCTGTTCTACTTTAATATCTAGTGGAAGCGCACTGACTAAAACTTGAAAAGAAG